TTTCTACCATGGTATAAAAAAAAAGTAATAATTAATAAATTATTAAAAAAATATTATCAAAAATTTATTTATCAAAAATTTATTTACATAAATAAAAATTTTTTTTTTTAGAATAAATAAATACTGGTAATGGTGAATAAAAACAACATGCGTTCTTTATAAAATCATCTTATCTTATCTAGCACTTGGTCATAGAGCTGCCCAAAGTGAGCGAATGTGAATTATGTGGAGGCCATCCCTCCATAAAATTATGGCGATTTTTTTACTCAAGAATACCAACAAACCTTGTAACTCAGATGTATTTTATCATAATGAGTGGAACTACATCCTATCCAATTATAGTATTAGAGTGACTTATAGTTATAAGTGTGTATAGGATTAAAGGTAAGAAGGAAAAGAGAGAAATACTATTTCTTCCAAATACAAAATAGTTAATTTATTAGTTAAATTTTTCCGTTTAGATATTGAGGAATTTTATAAATTTAGTAAATATTATGTAATCAGTATAAGACGTTACAAAATAGCTATTATTTAACTAGTTGAATTTTCTGTTTAGATTTATAATTATTTAATAAATATTATATAATCATTAAAAGACATATAATGGCGTAATAGGTTATCCTACTTTTCATATAGGTATAATAGGTTATCCTACTTTATATTAAAGTTATATAATGGCGTAATAGGTTATCCTACTTTATATTTTAATTTCCCTATGCAATCGGAAAAATTTTTCCTATCCCTTTATCTGCCTTTATTTGGGCCTATAAAGATCCCTTTACCTACCTTTATATGGGCCTATAAGTCTCTAGTCATGATGAATTATACTCTTACACACAGGGGCGGACTGGCGACGCTACGGCCTTGTTCGATTTACATGATTTTTATTACTTCTTATTTTTGAAAATAAGTTCAAAAGATTTACATTATTAGTAAAAAAAAGAATAGTATTATACAATAATCATATATTTTAATTTTAAAAAATGCACATCTAAAACCATATTCACTACCAATATAAAATAATATTCATTGCATATATATATTTTAGATTTATAACGATATTGCACTATAAAATCAAATCATACATCACATGTTAAATATAAAAAAAATACATACTCAATATATTAAATCAATTAATTACACATATGAAATTATTGCAGTTATACAATATTACAGCGTATAAAATTGCTGCACTTATAAAATCAGGCACCGATCATATTGTAAATAGATATGAATAAAATTCAAATATAAGAATTAAGGAAATATATAATTTTTACGTTAATAAATCTCTCATTAACTTTGAACCTTTGCGCCAATATACAAGAATATCTTCTAGTTCAATCTGCGCTAATGTTTCTCATTCAACTGACATCATTAAACGCTTCTAATTTTTCTTGGTCAATATTAGCTGTTATATATCAATAAAGGTGGTGTTGTATGGACAAGAAAAAATGTTTTATTTATTATATATTTTATTTAAAACTAAAAATGATACTAAAAATTAATATAAAATAAGGTATATATATATGTGTATTATAAAAAACACAATTTAAACGAAATACATAGTTAAAGGCTAACATGTTTAAAATAAAAACAATTTAAGTTAAACAAATTTAAAAAGTCATTCTCAATTAATATTAGCTCTCAGCTTGTTTTTATAATTTTTAATTTACTAAATGTTTTCTCGCAATTAACCTACATAAATTACAAAGTTAAAATGTATTCATATGCCAAAAATAAACTAGTGTCACTTGTATGCATATTGCATCTTTTAAAAATTTCATACACGCATATTAAACACTTGTTACATTTATTATCACACTCTGAGTTATTATCATATTGTAATATTCCATCTTTTTCATTTTACTCCTCACTTGTACATATGATCATCGTCTGTTTCATTTAATTCTGCTACCAAATCTTTGAATAAACTGGCAAATGATCATTATTCGTTACATAATTTAACACTCAATATATATATATCTTTACTATTTATTTCATCAAAATGTCTAGGATGCAAATATTGCACATTCAAAATAAGCTCTCAATTCGCGGAGAGCCGTTTCGACAAGCTGTTTGTAATTTGATCAATTATAGGACGAAATACTCCGAACCTATAAAGATCAATCGATTCTTGAAAACGTTTATCTTGGCATTTGTCATTATATATTCTCTTCGCTCGTCCTATTCGGTTTTTTGGCCGAGCATCCTGTACCTTGATACTCTCCGGGAGCTTTAAATATTAAAGTGTTTCATTTAAATTAGAAGCCATTTTATTGCTTTATTTTGAATCGATGTAATAATCGATGATACAGAAGACTTAGCATCTTCTATCATTTCCATGCAGACAAAGTACCCAATTTTTTAGTTTGAAGATATGACAGTGGCCCAATTATTTAAAAAATATCCAAATATATTATAGCTGTACTTAGAGTCTTGAATTTACATAAATTATCAAGTTTTTGTTTCAAATGATTTATTATCTATTATAAATTGAAGTGCATTTATCGTTATTGGGAGCAAGCTCTATTTACCATATATCCTCTAAGAGCTTTTTCACGTGCCCACCACCTTATCTAACTTATTTTTTGTAGCTTTCTCAACTTATTTTGGCCAGATGAATTATTTTGTTTCACCCAAGCATCCATCCTTTTATCTAATTCACCTACCTGGATTTTATTTGATTTCAATGAATTAAGAACAAGAAATGTTGGATATATTATTTCTACAATAAATCAATGTATAAAAATGTAATGTAATGAATTAAAATTTAGCTTTCACTCTACTCAAACGGAAGCATTTTTACTTCATTTGAAAAAAACAAAGGAAAGAACGTGGTAATGATGTATATCGTCAAGCGACGTTACTGGTATTTTATGAATTAAATTATAGTAAACGACATGACAATTGTCAAGGAATGTAATATTAAAATCATAGAGATATCAATAAAAATAAATAAATGATAAGAGAAAATAATGTGAACATAATAATATTTTTTTTTCTAATCGGCCTCTTTTTTGATATTTTCTTCTGATCGGCCTCAAAAATCAACATTTTCTCGCGGCCTCGGGGGCAAAATGGCCACCTGGTTATATGGCCAGTCCGCTCCTGCTTACACAACGAATGAAAAATAAAATAACATTATAATAAACTACTAAATTATATCGGTAGTAGATTTGGAACTAGATAATATCTATTTAAACTATAATATCATTTATTAGAGAACTAACGGTCAAGAGAGAATTAGAGATCATTTCTTAAAAATAAATATACAATACTTTCTACTCAGCAGTCATTCGTCAGATTTTAGAATTTTTTTAAATGCAACCATAGTGGAAAGTAACAATAGCCTAACCTTGAATTCATATTGGCGCGATTGCAATCAAGATTTAACAGCTGATCGATTTAAAAAATCTATTTATGAGATCAATTTTTATTTATTAATATTAATTTTATTTTTAATGCAATTCATAATAATAATCTATGAAATAATGATTTTAATAAATAAAAATTGATCTCTTAAACAGATTTTAAAAATCGATCAACTTTTAAATCACGATCGTAATCGCGCCACGAGAAATGTAATTTATAAATACTATCTAATGACCTTATATAAATTAAACAATATTTTAATTTATTAATATTTCTATTATATAACTTGTACTAAGTTTGATAATTTTTTTGTTAATTTTTTTAATAATTCAAAATCCTAAAAAAAACAAATATGCTTGCCTCATCAACACCGTGTTTATCCCAATCGTTACCAATACCCTAGGCATGTTCGGAAATGATGCTCTCAATTTCATCAAAACTATAGGAAAAAAATGAGGTAGATCTCAGGGGACCTTAATGAAGGATTTTACCTTCGTCAGAGATTTCCCTGGAAATCTGCCGGCCAAATTTTTTAAGCATTCACTCTTCTCTAGGGCTTTTAAATTTTTTTTTTATCTCATTTCTCTTTTATACATATATATTTTTTAATTCATTTTTAATATATATATTTTTAATTATAATTTGTAAAATTTGTAAAAATTTGTTTTTAATAAAGTTTTATCGATTTGCCTAACTTTGATCGTAAAGTCATTTGATCGTAAAGTCATTTGATCGTAAAGTCATTTGATCGTAAATTTTGTCCATTTTTTTCTGATTGGTCTATTTAATCGCGGTAAATTAAAATCATTTATAACCCTAACCTAACCTAACCCTAACCTATAAATTGAAAAAATCGTCCATTTTGACCTAAAATGGACAAAATGGACCATTTTACGATCAAAATAATACGATCAAAGGAGGCCCTCCGTTTTATCATATTAAAAAAAAAATTTAAATATTTTGTTTAAAATTTTTAATATCCTAAAGTTATACTTGAATTTTATTTTACTTTAAAAATTTTATTTAAACATTTGATTGGGCTAATATATCATATTAGGATGTAAAATTTATAATATATATATATTGAACAAATTTTATAATAAAGAAGTTTGAATTTTTGATGAAATATGGAATTTTTTAGATAATAATAAAACGTCGCGTGTTCATATTTTAAAATGAATTTGTAAATTAAAGGCTTTGATTTTGAATTTTATTAACAAATTTTGTTTAATGAGAACAAATTTATTTTTGTTCAAACAACTCTAAACTTTAAGGTTTTAGCAGAAAAAAAATGAGATTAATTTTGAAATACAGAAGGTTTTTTATTTATAAAAAAAATACTTGAAAAGAGATAAAACGCGAGAGATATAAAAATGTATAAGATCTCGAAAATCATCCAGATGAGATATGGCAACTTTGTTTTTTATACGTATTAATTATTATTTTTGCTATAGTACCTAATAAAATTAATGTATTTATTATTAATATAAATTAATTTTATTTTTTTATAAATTGTTTGCTAATTTGATTCTTAAAATACTTATCACTAATTTTGTAATATAAAATTATTTTTATAATTTTAACATAATTATGCAATATTTACATATACATATAATATTTGCGAAAATTTTAAATTTAAATATTTAAAAACAGATGATAACTCCCTAAATTAAAATTTACGCCATATTGGTTTAAAATATTGGATTTTGGGATAAAAAATATATAAAGTAATATCAATCATTTCATTATTATCTGGCTAAATGTAAATTTTATACTGTTATTATGATTATAACATTTAATTATATTTTATATTATATAATATATTAAAATTATTTCCTTTTCCGCTTAAAATGGCGGCTTAGAAAAACGTGGTTTACAAAGAAATGATTTTATTATAAAATCTATAAGAAAATATAATAATGGCTATTACTTAATTAAGATTGTTTAATTTTCTTATAGTACATTAAATTTTTATCTAAATATACTATAAAAATATTTGTAATATGCATATTTAGAATTTTATTCCCTTTATACCTTTATATAATTAATGATATTTTTTTGTAATATATCTAAAAAAAAAATTCAAAAGAATTTAATTTATTTTGTATGAATTTGTGCAATTCTAATTATTTTGCTGAGATATATTCATAAAAAAATTGCCTAATTTTTAAAGATTGTTCTCATTTCCATAATTTATAATATAAGAATGTAATCAGAGTGTAAACCATTTTGTAAAGGATGTCATTGATTGAACTTGGGCAACAATTGTTAGATGCTGCACAAAGAGGTGAAACAGACCATATCAAACATTTAATGTGCAATGGTGCCCCATTTACCACTGATTGGGTAATATCTATTTTTTCTAATGAGATATTATTTAAAATTTTATAAAATTATAAAAAAAACTAAAAAATATATCCTATTCTAAAAATTGATTTATATTGTATAATTTGATACAAAACAGTATATCAGATATATAAACCTACACTTGTTACCTGGTCCCAGAACAAATCATAAAATATTTTAAAAACCTGCATAATAAATATAATATAGTAATTGTTTGGAAAATTATATAGATCCATTCACATCCATTACTCATATTTACAATTTTTCTTTTAGGTTGGTGCATCCAAATGGAAATTTTTTGATCTGTAATTATTTTGCTTGCCTGGCTTTTAATTTTTTTTATTTTAAATGATTTTGGTTGTATCTTGTATATTGTTTCATAGATAAATTGAAAATATGAACAGTAAATGAATAGTAAAACTATCATATAATATTCCAATTGATTAATATAATTTAAATTTATTTTTAAAAATCAGCATGGGTTTTATAAAAAAAATATTGGGCATAATTTATCTTAGAAACATTATACAAAATACAACCAAAATCATTTAAAATAAAATTTAAAAAATTCAAGCCAGGCAAGCAAAATAATTACAGATCAAAAAATTTTCATAAAATTTTAAATATGAGTAGTAAATGAATAGTAAGACTATTGTATAATATTCCAACTGATTAATATAATTTAAATTTATTTTTAACAATCTGCCTGGGTTTTATAAAAAATATATATTGTGCATGACTTGGTTGCCTTGTGATGCTAAATCTCTTCATTTGAGCCAATTTTAAAAAATGACTAACTCAGTTATTGTCCAGGAAAACATTTCACAAACCTGAAGATTTTGCTCATAGATGGATAACACAAAGGTTTGAACATCTATTGACAAAATAATGATGCTTATGCAATATTTTTCTTCCTAAAATATTGAGCTAGCTTGTACTCAAATGGAGAGGTTTTGCATCACTAGGCAGACCCATATACCTAAACCAAGCCTTTTGAAAATATTATCTGACTACATTTTATTTTCTTTAAATCATGCAGTTTATTTATAGTAAATTTTTTAACAATAATTCTCTAACAATTAAAATGCATTTAATTATAAAAAGTAATTTTTATAAACACAGTTTGGAACTACTCCTTTACATCTTGCATCCCAAAATGGTCACGTGTCCACTGCAGAAGTGTTAATTCAAGCTGGAATAACCATCGATACAAAAACAAAGCTCAGTAGATCCCCTTTGCATATGGCATCCCAATGGGGCCACTTACCTATGGTCCAACTCTTGATTAAACATGGGGCTAATGTCAACATTCGAGATATGGTTTTAAAACTCATTTTAAAAAATATATTAGATATTAAATAATAATTTGTTTTTTGTAGGCTTGTCAATCTATATTTCAAAAATTGAATCTCTTTACATATACTGATAGATATAATTCATATATTTTTTTTTCAAAGGATTTTTTTTGAATGGATGTAAATATGATCTTGTTTTGATGGGATTTAGATTGAAATGAGTATACAAAAAGAACACTAGAAATTAATTTTGAAATTCTGGAAATTTTTAATTACTGGAGGTTTAGTCAGAGTGAAACATGCCATGTTTTTAAATCAAAATAATAGTGAACTTAGTTAGATATTTCACTCTAGTTTTTTTTATGAGTTTTCCTATAATAACTAATGTTATTGTGTGCAAATTTTTATAGGCTCTTATACACTAATATACAAGTAATTAGTGTTTATTTGAGGCGTCTAGTAAAAAATACCTTACATTGCCTCTTGAGTTATATTTTTAATGCATTCTTTTTTAATATAAATTTTATATTAACAATATTTTATTAATTAATAAAAGTTGAATAAGAAATATCTCTAGTTTCATGGTAATTGGATGATTTTTTAATATTAATCTTTAAAAAAAAATCATGGCTTACAAAAATCATAAAATTTTTGTTACAAAATCAATTTTTAGAATAGGTTTTAAAGATATTGTAAGGTGTGAGTGCAAAATTAGTTTGAAATCTGCCGAGCTTATTGAAATACAATCAAAAGTTCATAAAAAAACACTCATTCTTACCTCTCGAAAAAACGTTTTTCTACCTTACCTCTTGTGGGTGAAAATGAAACGTCAATTCGTTGTGATATTTAATATGAAAATTATTTTTTAATACTTATACCTTAAATAAAATAATATTTTTATAAAAGGGATCGAAAGGTCGATCATAGCATCACGATCCTCATTTTTTAACCTTTCAGTACTCTCCTGAGGTCCATAATACCCCAGGCATTTTAAAATGAATATTACTTCAAATGTTTTTTTTAAAAAGTATGATCTCAAATCTTCATTAGCTTTAGTAAATTTATCAAAATTTTATTAATTTTGTTTCAGTAGTTATTCAAATGTTAGTATCTCGTTGATCCTTGAATTAAGATTCTTTAACAATTCTGTTTTTTGTGATAGTTTTGATTCCTTGTATGAATTTATTAAAAAAATAATATAATATCTTAATAAGTATCTAAAACTATTTACACATGAAAGCTACATTTGATAATTTAAATACTGTTCTATTGTGCAGATGTTAATTTTTGATAATACATTTAAAGGCTGAATAAATTATGTAAATTTAAAATTATAAAATTTTATTAATCATTACACGAAACTTATCATTCTCTTGTATGATTGTTGAAATATAGCAAAAAGTTTTAGTGGCTTTAACCCCAGAGTGGAAGAAATAATGCTGCAGGATTACTAAATATAATTATTAAAAGATTTATTTATTTTTTGGAATGCGCTAATTGTTAAATGAAAGTTAAACGTTCGCTTAGTCCTTAATTTTTAGGGCGGGACGCATCTTAAACGCGTGAATCTTGGGCAGGATACGTCCACATTCTAAATTTTACGGCCCAATATTTTTAATAGTAAATATAATTTTTTAAATTAATAATATACTTTATATCTATATAAAAACATATATATACCTATAATTACATTTATTATAAAATTCGAAAGAAAAAAGGGACATAATAATAGATCACATTGTTATATTTCGTAAAAATAGTTAAACAGTGAATTTAGTTAAATTTGAATTTATTTTAAAGTTGGACTTATAAAAGGCCCATTTTTAAATATGGTCGCCACTGTTTCTTCTTCAATTTCCATAATTTTCAGTAATTTATTCTTCCATTAAAAATAATATATGAATAATTCACTTTTTAAAAATTTAACTTAATAGAAATTTAAATTGTAATAAAAATTATTCCTTTTTTTCGTCTGTTTAGTCTTTTTTGAAAGACAACGCGCTCGTCCTTCAAAAAAGAGTAATAAATTTGCTTATCTCTTTTTGAAGAAATGTAACTAGATACAGTGTTGCGTAATCGGTAAAAACTACGCCTAAGCCTAATAAGGCTAAGCTTAAAAATCGGCTAAACCTAATTAGGCTAAGCGTAAAAATCGGCTAAGAAAATATAAATCTGCTAAAATTAAATTAGTCAAAATTCTGCATCGATGCTTATAGTATTAATTATTATTTATTTATTTTAGTAAAATAATTTATTTTATTTATATTTAATGTAAATATTTTATTATTATCAACAAATAAACATGATATGATTTAATATTTTTTATTTATATTATTATATTTTGAAATGAAAATAAATTTATTTATTTGATGTTATTTTAAAAAAAATAATATGCTGCTATATTGTAAAAATGTAATATTCTTTTTAATATAATTTATTAGTGATTTTCACAATCTTCTTTGTAAATACATCTTTATTGAGAAATTATATTGTAAATTTTATTAGATAAATTAAACAATCTTTTAGGTGAAATCTTTTATCATTTTTTTTAAATTATCTATTTTTTATTAAATGAGGTGGATTTTATGAAACTTTTTTGATGATTTTATATGATATTTTTAAGGATAATATTTTAATGTGACAATTGTCATAATCGTTATTTTATAAGTTTTTTGAATTTTTTTGAAGAAAATAGGTTAAAATAAGTATTAATAACATGTGTAAATATAAATTTAGTGAAGATGTACCAATGAAAAGTGACAATTGTCATAATCGTTATTTTTAAAGTTTTTTGAATTTTTTTGACGACAATATGTTAAAATAAGTATTAATAACATGTTTAAATAAAAATTTAGTGAAGATGTACCATAGAAAAGTGACAATTGTCATAATCGTTATTTTATAAGTTTTTTGAATTTTTTTGAAGAAAATATGTTAAAATAAGTTTTAAAAACATGTTTAAATAAAAATTTAGTGAAGATGTACCATAGAAAAGTGACAATTGTCATAATCGTTATTTTATAAGTTTTTTGAATTTTTTTGAAGAAAATATGTTAAAATAAGTATTGATAACATGTTTAAATAAAATTTAGTGAAGATGTACCATAGAAAATTGACATTGTCATAATCGTTATTTTTAAAGTTTTTTGAATTTTTTTGAAGAAAATATGTTAAAATAAGAAAAACATGTTTAAATAAAAATTTAGTGAAGATGTACCATAGAAAAGTGACAATTGTCATAATCGTTATTTTATAAGTTTTTTGAATTTTATTGAAGAAAATATGTTAAAATAAGTATTAAAAACAGGTTTAAATAAAAATTTAGTGAAGATGTACCATAGAAAAGTGACAATTGTCATAATCGTTATTTTATAAGTTTTTTGAATTTTTTTGAAGAAAATATGTTAAAATAAGTATTAAAAACATGTTTAAATAAAAATTTAGTGAAGATGTACCATATAAAAGTGACAATTGTCATAATCGTTATTTTATAAGTTTTTTGAATTTTTTTGAAGAAAATATGTTAAAATAAGTATTGATAACATGTTTAAATAAAATTTAGTGAAGATGTACCATAGAAAATTGACATTGTCATAATCGTTATTTTTAAAGTTTTTTGAATTTTTTTGACGAAAATATGTTAAAATAAGTATTAATAAGATGTTTAAATATAAATTTAGTGAAGACAATGAAAAGTGACAATTGTCATAATCGTTATTTTTAAATCTTTTTGAATTTTTTTGACGAAAATATGTTAAAATAAGTATTAATAACATGTGTAAATATAAATTTAGTGAAGATGTACCAATGAAAAGTGACATTTGTCATAATCCTTATTTTTAAAATTTTTTGAATTTTTTTGACGAAAATATGTTAAAATAAGTATTAATAAGATGTTTAAATATAATTTTAGTGAAGACAATGAAAAGTGACAATTGTCATAATCGTTATTTTTAAAGTTTTTTTAATTTTTTTGACGAAAATATTTTAAAATAACTATTGATAACATGTTTAAATAAAAATTTAGTGAAGTTGTACTCTAGATAAGCGACAATTGTCATAATCATTATTTTTAAAGTTTTTTGATTTTTGTTGACAAAACTTTAAAAATAGCGATTATGACAATTGTCACTTTTCATTGGTACATCTTCACTAAATTTATATTTACACATGTTATTATTACTTATTTTAACATATTTTCGTCAAAAAAATTTAAAAAACTTTAAAAATAACGATTATGACAATTGTCACTTTTCTATGGTACATCTTCACTAAATTTATATTTACACATGTTATTAATACTTATTTTAACAAATTTTCGTCAAAAAAATTCAAAAAACTTTAAAATTAACGATTATGACAATTGTCACTTTTCATTGGTACATCTTCACTAAATTTATATTTACACATGTTATTAATACTTATTTTAACATATTTTCGTCAAAAAAATTCAAAAAACTTTAAAAATAACGATTATGACAATTGTCACTTTTCTATGGTACATCTTCACTAAATTTATATTTACACATGTTATTAATACTTATTTTAACAAATTTTCGTCAAAAAATTCAAAAAACTTTAAAATTAACGATTATGACAATTGTCACTTTTCATTGGTACATCTTCACTAAATTTATATTTACATATGTTGTTAATACTTATTTTAACATATTTTCGTCAAAAAAATTCAAAAAACTTTAAAAATAACGATTATGACAATTGTCACTTTTCATTGGTACATCTTCACTAAATTTATATTTACACATGTTATTAATACTTATTTTAACATACTTTCGTCAAAAAAACTTTAAAAATAGCGATTATGACAATTGTCACTTTTCATTGGTACATCTTCACTAAATTAAATATTTACACATGTTATTAATACTTATTTTAACAAATTTTCGTCAAAAAAATTCAAAAAACTTATAAAAGAACGATTATGACAATTGTCACAAAATATTATCCTTAAAAAGATCATATAAAATAACATCAAAAAAGTTTCATAAAATCCACCTCATTTAA